ACATGAGAAAAAGGGAGGCTTCAGTGCTATACCTGCCCCTGGCCCAGGGCTGGGGGAGGAGGGGGCAGGGCCCCCACCTGAGGCTTGCTGCTTCTCCTACATGGCTGCCTAATTTCAACTGCACCACAGCCTTCTTTTCCATTTTCTTAAATATGTAATTAGCAAAGGCATTACTGAGAGTTTTAATTGGCCTTTTGTCTGGAAATCCACCTGGACAAAACCATCCTCAGCCCCAGGGGCTGGCCGGTTGGGCAAAACCTCGACAGGGATTTAATCCCTGATGGATCCTACTCCTGTGGTAATGCTGCAGGCATCACATGGATCCTGGCTGTTGGAATACTGTGGGATACAAACACTTGGATTTCCCAAAGCTGTTTCCCAGGTTATTTCAGAACTCATTCCTTGTCCTCCGTGACCTGGATCATAGGGATGAGCATGTGGGTTTGGGGTTGGAAAGCAGGATCTCCCTGCCTGGGGCTTGTTCCCAGCTGAACAATGCCAAGGATGAGCTTTAAGGTCCCTCCCAAGCCAAACCATTCCAGGATTGTGTCATCCTGAATCATGGAATCTGATCCCACCAATCATGCGATGATTCTGTGAATCCGTGGAGTGGATCCATCCATGTTCCATCACAGAATATGATGGTGTAGAGTCTGGGATTCTGCAATTGTAAACCCTGGAATAAGGTTCTCTGGATTCCAGGATTCTAAATCAAAGGATCATGGAATACGGTTCTATGGATTTTGGGATTCTATGATTCTGAATCATGGAATGTGGTTCTCTGGATTCTAAAGCATAGAATCAGGGAGTATGTTCCTGTGGTTTCCAGGACTAAACCATAGAATCCTGGGATTCCAGATTCCACGAATTCCAAGATTCTAAACTGTAGAATCATTGAATGTGGTCCTCTGGGTTCCAGGATTCTTAACCATAGGATCCTGGGATATGGTCCTCTGGATTCCAGGATTCTAAAGGATAGAATCACAGAATGTGATTCTAGGATTCCAAACCGTAGAATCCCAGAATAGAATTTTATGGGTTCCAGGATTCTAAAGGCTTGAATTGGATTTTCCCTCGTTCCCGCAGGGTTTGTGGCCGGGGCGGGGGCTGCGGGCAGGAACGAGAGCCCTGAGAATAACAATTGTCTCCAAGGCCCGAGAGAGGGGCGAGAAAAAGGGGCCGTTGAGCTCATCCTATCCATCCCCAAATAACAGACCCATCACTGTGTCCGGTCCCAAACCTCCCTTTTCCTGGGAGAAGAATCGCTCCGTGCACAGCTGTGGGAGCCACAGACGTGGATTTGTGTCTGCCCAGGCTCTGCCCTCCTCCAGTGGGACGTGGGGCCACACAAACCCCCTTTGTGCCCTTGGCGGCCCCCACAGAAAGGCCCCACAGTTTGGGGCTGCCGGGCACCACCCCCTCCCCCCCCCAGCGCTAGGAATAACTCCAGGGATGTCATTCCCAGCGGGCGCCGGGCTGGGGCACTGTGCTCCTTATGGGCTGGGGCTGCTTTGGGGGGTTGGGGTTGGGGCCTGACTTTGGGGGAGTTTAGGGCTGTTTTGGGGGGTTGGATTTGAATTTTGGGGTTGATTTGGGGTGATTTGTGACTAGATTCGGGTCATTTGGGGTTGATTTGGGGGGCAATTCAGGGCTGGATTTGGGTGGTTTGTGAGTGTATTTCTGTGGTTTGGGGATGGATGGGGCTGGATTTGGGATGACTTTTGCCTGGTTTGGGGTGATTTGTTGCAGGATTTCCAGATTTAGGGCTGGATTTGGGGTGATTTTTGCCTGGTTTGGGCTGATTTGTTGCAGGATTCCGTGATTTGGGGCTGGATTTGGACAGTTTGGGGCTGTTTTGGGGGCAATGTGTGACTGATTCAGGGCTGGGTTATGATGATGTGGGGCTGGTTTGGGGTGATTTCTTGTGGGATTTGGGTGATCTTTGGCTGATTTTTGGGGTGATTTGAGGCTGGATTTGGGGCTGGATTTCGGGTGTTTGGGGCCTGGATTTGGGGCTGGTGTAGACAATTTGGGGATGAATTTGGGTGGTTTGGGGGTGAATTTGGGGTGGTTTGAGGCAATTTGTGCCTGATTTAGGATGACTTGTAAATGGATTTGGGTGATTTGGGGTGAACCTGGGGCTGGTTCAGGGTGATCTGGCTGAATTTTCGTTGGTTGAGGCAATTCAGGATTGGATTTGGGCAACTTATGGCTGGATTTAGATTGTTTGGGGCTGGATTTTGGCAACCTGCGGCTTGTTCAGGGTAATTTGGGGCAGGATTTAGGTGGTTTGCAGGTGGCCTTTGTGATTAGAGCCTGATTTGTGACAGGTTAGGGGCAGCTTTAGGGTGGAGTTTTGGTGGTTTGTGGCTGGCTTTAGGGGATTCCTGGCTGGTTTTGAGTTTTTTGGCTGGAATGTGAGGCTGGATTTTGCGTAGGTGCTGTCGTTATTTTGGGGGTGCATTTTGAGAGTTTGCAGCTGCCTTGGGGGACTTTGGGGCTGCTTTGGTGACTTTGGGGTGGATTTTCCTACTTTGGGGCTGCTTTTTTGGTGCCTTGTGACTGTTTTTGGGGCTCTGTGACTGCTTTGGGCCCTTTGTGACTTTTAGTGGCTTGGGGCTGGATTTGGGGGCTTTTTTGTCTGGGTTTTGGATTGATTTTGGTGCTTTGTGGCTGTTTTTGTGGTTTCTGAAGGTGTTTTGTTCCTTTGTGTTTTTTTTTTTTTTTGGCACTTCCCGACCTTTGGTGCCTTGTGGCTCTTTTTATGGTGCTTTTTTGGCTGTTCTTTTTTTTTTTCCTTTCTTTCTGGCTGGATTTTGGCACTTTGTGGCAGGGGTTTTGTGCTCTGGGGACAGATTTTTGTACCTTGTGGTTGGTTTTTTGGGCTTTTTTTGGTCTGTTTTGTTGCTTTCTGTCAGTTTTTGATACTTTTTGTCTTTTTGGTGCTTTCTGCCTGGTTTTGGCACTTTGTGACTGGGTTTTGGTGTTTTGTGGCTGTTTCATGGGTTTCACTGGTTGTTTTTGGGGGCTTTTTTGGTGGCTCATGGCTGGTTTTGGAGGGGTTTGACTGTTGTTTTCTTGGCTCTCTGTATCTGATTTTTGGGGCTTTTTGGCTGAGTTTTTCTCACTTTCTGGCTGTTTATTGTGTTGTTTTATTTTTTTCTCCTTCTGGCTGTTTTTTGGTGCTTTGTGACTGTTTTTAACACTTTGTAATTGCTTTTT